CTGGAACAACAGACTTCTGTCACTTTTGTTAATTTATTTGAGCAAAAACGAGCTCTGCTCACTCGTGACGTGCCTTTGTCTTATTGATGACTGCAGGCAGATAACGCTGTAAATCAAACCACCGTTTCAACCGAGCTGAGTCACAGAGGCGTTGGAGCAGAAAACAATACATTTGAAAATTGTTGCGAGATAAAATGCTCGCGAGACGATGATGTATTTGATATCTTGATAAAAAGAACTCATCAGTGAAAAGAACAAAACAGAAGATGGGGATAAAGTATTGTCACATGCTCATTTCTCTGTGCGTGAGTATGTGTATTGACAATGTCCTCTTATCTCCCCTGACAGCCAATAAAGATCTAAACAAGTTGTAGTAGTCCACGGTCCTGACCTGGTGCACACCAATCATGCTTTTCATTTTCGGGCCCTGAAGCCCCTATTGGCCGAGCCCTCTCACCCACAACAAAGCCATCTGCAGAACTCATTACCAGGGTAACAACCAAGTGCAGCAAAGCAGGCGGAAAACAGAATCACCTGACCCTGCTGATTTGTTAATTGACATCTGCATATCTATGTTTACTGACAACAAGAGAGATCTGACAGCATGGAACTGCCATTTAAACTGCAGAGTAGCTTTCTTTGCACAAAGTGATCATGGTTTAAATGAGCTATTCAGTTACTGCTGCATTAAAAACTGTGTAATATTACATACCCTGAAATCAGGCAACGTGACCAATATTAGTTTTGCAAATACAAAAATGTCATGTGAATTTTTGCCCTCCTTTCAAAAATGAGAATAAAAAGCCGCCATCTTATCGAAAAATCTGTTGTGCTCTCAACACAGCACCATGCACACTGGATTCATGGCACACTTCACCCTGAACAGTACATCAAACCAAATATGTGCAGTTTAATTAAAAACCATTTTACTCATCAAAAAAAGGGGACATCATTAAAAAGATTGATTTCAGAAAAATCTTAAATGTTTAATTAAATGAAAAACCCTAGGCTGTCGGACCCCATTGTTGAAAGGTTCAATCCAAAAGGTCCCAGAAAATGACAACAGGAAATTACTATACCAGTTGTTTTGCACTCTGGAAATAATCTATTTTGAAAAAATATTTCATGCAAGCAATTGAGAAGATTAAAAATCCTGTTTAGACAAATAAGCAGCTGGTGATGTGATTGATAAAAGGAAATAACAGTGAGTGAAGTCTGTACATTTTTTAGATCATATCTCAATATTTTGTGACCACCACAATGAAAATATAAAATACATGCTTGGGACATCATGTATTTAAATTTGAGTGACAGTTAGAGATGAGCATGTACAGTTTATTTTGGCCTTTTGCTTGCTCCTTCCTCCACGGGAAAATGCAGTGTCAGCAACGTCGAAAAACTGAATTTGAACTCCAACCCACGGCAGAGGTAATTATTCTGAACACTTAAGAGTGAACATTACTTGGAGCATTTTGTTTAACCGCAATCTAAAATTGTACACAAAAAATTATTAATTATTGTGAAAACACATGTCCAGTGGCTCTGGAACAAGTCTAAACCATCAACCCTCCACCACTATACTTTTACGGCTTGTATGAAACATTTGTGCCAGTATGCTATGT